GGCAAGGAAGGGTCAATCATTAACGGAAGATCTCTATTGGGTAGAGGAAATCTCAGATTTTATAAATGCATCTGCTTTAGCAAATATTTCTAATATTACAATATGAATAAAATCTTTTATATATTCAAAAAAAATTGCCGAATTGAAAAATTAGAGAAACCAAATTCAGCTTTCCATGACTCACCTTTGCCCAAGGGAAGGGAGTTACTTGAAGTGGTACGCAGCTCATAAATTCAACAAAAGTAATAGTGATAGAAAGGAAACTCTAATAATAGCTAAGAATGCTTAATGAGAAAAAGTATTATGAGCAAATTTGGAGTTTAAGTCAATTTATTTATATAATCATTTTTAAAAAATATCATTCAATATATCTAAAATTTAAATCTTTTCAAACTCTTCCCTCTTCCTAGATTCTAACCTCTTTGTAAAAATAAGTATTACGAGTATCAGTGATGAATCTTAACATCTAATTTTAAGAGATTAATTAAAAGTATATATTTTTATTGTTATGTTATTCAAATTTGAGAGGGAGTGTCAAATACTGTATGTGTTCAACATGAATATACTCATTTTTTCTAAGTTTTTCTTTATATTTGGATGGTCCAACCTTCATTCCACATTTATCACATATGTATTGAATACAAGTGTTTCAAGAAAAATAAAGAATTCAATCAATTAATTAATTTATTTGAATTTTTATCAAACAAAAAAAATGAAAAAGGTCATAAAGATATGAGAAGATAAGTGCAAGCTAAAAGAAAGAAATACACCTTGGGTATTTGGTTGAAAACTTAGAACTTTATTGAGAACTTACATGAGTATGCGCAGCTCTAGGACATGGAAATGGAAAGCTAGTTCCGAAAAGGGGCTGATGTCCATAAACACCCGACTAGAGGGGTGTGAGGGGGCCATTACGAACATGCAGGACAGATGTGAGGACAACATAGGACCTGTACACGACTTAATAAGGGAGGTTGTGTAGGATCACGAGGACTTAATATTTATTACAAATCTATTATTCTAAAGAGTTTGTGAATAATGATTAAGGATATAATAAATAAACAAATAGTAATATAAATTTAATTCCTTTTAAATTAAAATGTATAAACTTATATTAAAAATAAAAAATGAAATTAACAAGTAATAACTTTAACATAAAAGCTAATTAAATTTAAATATATATAAAATAATTATAAAATATACTATAAAATATATTAAAGGGTTGAACAATTCTAGGAGCAATTGCTTATACAATTGCCCTTGAACACCTGCTCATATAAAGAATCAAGTCATGTTGTTATCATATTAAAAGGTAAGACATGCTTAGGCTAGTTTTTTTTTTTTTTTTTAATATTTAGTATTTTTAAAAATAAAATAAAATAAAGTATTAAGTTTTAAAAAAGTTAACATTGGCTGATTCAGTTTTTTAGGCTCCATGACGTGGTTCATTAATAGAACAATGTTTTAAAAGCAAGGATATGAAAAAAAAATTAAAAAATCAAAAATTGAATTAAAATTATAATAGTTAATTTAGTTTGAATTTATTTTTTATTCTATTCAAATTAAATTTAAATATTAAATTTATATTCTATTCGGATTAAATTTAAAATTGAGAAGTGAAAAATGAAAAATATTGAATCTAATCGAATTATATATTTTTTATTAGTCATTATATATTTTAAATTTTTATAAAATACAATAATTTCTTATATTTAAATTTATATAAATATATTAAAAATCATATTAAAATAATATATAAAAAATAAAAAATAAATTACAAAAACTAATAAATCGAATTAAATTAAATCAATAAAATTCAATTGAGATCAAATTATATGAAAATTTGATTTAAATTCAGATCAAATTTAAAAATTAATAATTCTATATATTATTCAAAAAAATCAAACCATATGTAATCCAATCGAAATTGTTATTATCTCAATTTAAAAACTTCTCATTTGACTGCTTCTAGCATTGGCATTAAGAATTTTCAAAATTTTTGGGGTGCCAACATCACTCCGCCTCTGACGATGATTAAGGCAATTAATATCTGCCTCCAACAGAATAATTGATCAGGGTATAATGTTTTTGGTTCATATCCTAAAAGGATGGATGAAATTTATGATACACAAGGAGGATTAATTCTCATCGCGAAATTCAAGAATATTACATGAACAAAAAAAAAAAAAACCAAATATAGTGATGAGATTATGAAAAACATGGTGGGGTTTGTAAACATCTCATTTTATGGAGTTAATTTTGTAGAATATTTTTATTTATTTATTTATTTATTGGCTTAGGTTTTGTTAAATTAAAAAAAAAAACAAAAAAAGAGTTTGATTTGATTTAAATTTAATGTTCTAATTGAAAAAAAATGTATCAAGTTGAGAAGTAAATTTAAATTCAAAATTCAAAATCGAATTTGATTAAGAGATTAAAATAAAAAAATTTATTTTTATTGTGATTTGGATTAAAAGTTTATAAAAAAATCTTATTATAATTTGTGAGAATAAATAAAATAAATAAATAAATAAAGAAGATAAAAGAAAAAAGCAAGAAAAATTCTGCAATAAGTTTTTTGGGTTTTGATTTTGTCGAGTTCTCAAAATTTTTTCTTGATTTCGGGTTGAAGTTTTCCGTAGAATTCAAAGAGGAAACAGTGGCGGCAGTAGAAGGCTACGTTTCTGATTCCAGGTTAAAAAGGGCTTGAATTGACTTTTCCCTCTTAACCCAAGTGGTTAAGAGGTCATCTAGGCGAGGATTCAATTCCCGCCATGTCCCCTTCGGCTTGTACGGGTATTAACCTCTTTTGAAACAAAAAAAAAAAAAAAAAAAGGGCTTGAATTGATTTGCAAAAGCAGCCACAGAAGATAAAAGAATGAGAGTTTTCGGCAAACGATACTGTTTAGTAATTGATGGACACAGGACAAGTTAAAGGCCAAAGTGGACCCACGTGGAAAACCCCAAGCAATATTCCACAATTGGATTGAATACTTTTCTTTTGGTTCAGGTTCTTTTCATTTAATTGATTTGATCCATTCATTGTTTTTTATTTATATTTAATGTTAATAGATGGTTTTAATTATTTGAACAATATAAAAGAAAAGTTTAATTTGGTAAGGCAAAATTATAAATGTATTTAATAATGTATTTTTAATGATAATTAAAAATAAATAAAATTTTAACAAAAAATTTTAAGAAAGTTATGAGCTTGTAATTTTTTAAGGAATTTTTAATTGAGAGAGTTTTTTTAAATTTCGATAAAAATGTTAGAGAATTTAAAAATTAAATTTAATATAAAAAAATTTTATTTATTTTTAATTTGAGAAAATTAAAATTGTAAATAAATTATGATTATTTGACTATTGTATTTTATTAAAATTTGTTTTTAATTATTGTATTTTATTAGATTGTGTGTATTAAATTTTATAAAATATTTAATAAATTTAATGACAGAATCTTTAAGAAAATAAATGTATTATTTGAATATTTTTAAGATGAAAAATATTTTTAAAGGTTCGATCAAAGTATTAAAAAAATTTAAAAATATTATTAATATTAAAATTAACAAAAATAATGAATAATAATAAGAATAAAATAGAGATAATTGAATTAAAACTAAAAATAATTTAAAATTAATTGATATTAATTTGTGATTTTATAAAGGTGTTATAACTGAATTTTTAAATCTAGCTATATTTAAAAAATTATAATTTATTTTTTTAGAGATTTTTAAATAAATTAAAATAACTTTAAAAAAAATAAATTTATATAAATGATTAATCATATCTAATTAAAAAAGTTGACGACGATTTTATATACTACAATTAGTAGGTAGGTTCTAGCACCGACGGGTTAACTCAAAAATTTTCTAGCACCGACAGGGTTAACTCAAAATTGCCTACTCATGGGGCTATGGTCCTAATATGTATAAATTGTCGACGGTCTCTTAAAGCATTTTCTTTAAGGAAAGGAAAACCTTTAGATTTAGCCATACATCGTAGAAAAAAGTGCAGCAATTTTGACAATGGAATATTGTGCTAAAATCATGAAGATCATGGTGGGGTTACTCTATCCTTAATTTTAGACTTTGATTCGATAGTCCACTATGCACCACTCAATTAGAAAGATAACAGAAGAACAAATAATTATCAATCTTTTGGTTGATTAATTGAACCTGCTCCACTTCTTTTCTTTCATTTGAGTAAATCTTTTAATTTTAGACTTGATAATATAAAAAAATTGAAAATAACATAATTTAAAATTTTAATAAATATTTATATGAATTTTGCACAAATTTAAAAATATATTTCGTGTTTAAAGTACAAACACAAATTATGGTAAAATAAAATTGACAATACTGCTCTCACCTAGCAGTTGTAATGCAATTAGCTATTCCTCCTTACTTCATTCCAATATTTTTTTTATACTTTTAAATATTATTTTTTAATATACAAACAATTGTAAAATAATAATTTTATTTTAATAAACCTTTTAAAAAATATAATTTAAGTAATATATAGATCGGTTTGATACAAATATGTAAGACATAAATGCACGAAATGATATATCTACATTTAAGCAACTAGACATCCATAGGAATGGAAAAATATTAGGCAATAAAAAGAGAAAAAAATTCCCATCCTGTGATATGGACAAATTGATGCATTCTTATACACTTGCTCGGTTTGGAATTATTGTTTATGCGGAAAGCATGGCAATAATAATTTCATACTGCAATGTAGTGTTTGTACATATCTTACCGACAATGAAGGCATGGCTCAGTGGTCTTGTTGAGGGAAAGGCTTCGCTCTCGTACGCGTTAATTACGTGAGTGAAAAAATCTGGGGTGAGGTTTGTCATCTTGCAAAAGTTTTTTAATGCAAAGAAAATGGAATGGCGAAAGCAGATCACATGGGCCTCTATAAAGCCAAGTATATATCCATTCACGGGTTCAACAGAGCACTACAAGTTAAAAATGTCCTCAATCAAGCACGCGGTTTCTCGATTCTCTTGCCCTAAAAGGTTGAAAATTCATGTCGAAATTTGATAATGAAGTATGCATGAAAGTTGGGTTTAGGTTTTTGCAAGTTGGAGAGTGGAGACTGTAACTAGCTAATGGAGTTTTTTTGAAGTCAATGAATGATGCCCAAAGTCCAATAAATTAGAAAGAAAAAGACGTCTGCATGATTGATTGCTTTCTTTTTGTCTACCTTTTGCATGATCTATAAGTGCATCAGTTGAAGAGTAAGTGAAAATCAATTAAGCTCTCTACTCTCCCTAAGCAGAGATGAGAGTAAGTTTGATGATGGGGAAGCATAGATTAGCCAATCTGATTATCCTGCTTCTGAACCTGGGAGCTTTGCTCGCTTCTGTTGCATGTCCCGAATGTCGACACCCTTCTCCTCCGCCAAAATGTCCTCCTCCAAAGTTTCCACCCAAACATCTTCCCATTGTGAAGCCTCCATTTCACCCTAAACCACCAAAACATCCGCCCCATCCTCCTAAGCCACCTAAGCCTCCTGTAGTAAAGCCTCCTCATTTCCCCAAACCTCCAGTTGTAAAGCCTCCCTATGTACCCAAGCCACCTTTTGTAAAGCCTCCACCTTATACACCAAAGCCTCCCTATGTACCCAAACCTCCTGTCGTAAAGCCTCCCCACGTGCCAGTGCCCAAGCCACCTTATGTGCCCAAACCTCCTGTTGTAAAGCCTCCACCTTATACACCCAAGCCTCCCTACGTGCCGGTGCCCAAGCCACCTGTTGTAAAGCCTCCACCTTATACACCAAAGCCTCCCTATGTACCCAAACCTCCTGTCGTAAAGCCTCCCCACGTGCCAGTGCCCAAGCCACCTTATGTCCCCAAACCTCCTGTTGTAAAGCCTCCACCTTATACACCCAAGCCTCCCTACGTGCCGGTGCCCAAGCCACCTTATGTTCCCAAGCCCCCGGTTGTAAAGCCACCACCTTATACACCCAAGCCTCCCTACGTGCCGGTGCCCAAGCCACCTTATGTTCCCAAGCCCCCGGTTGTAAAGCCACCACCTTACGTACCCAAACCTCCCTACGTGCCGGCGCCTAAGCCACCTTATGTTCCCAAGCCCCCAGTTGTAAAGCCCCCACCTTACGTACCCAAACCTCCTGTCGTCAAACCACCAACACCTTATTACCCAATACCCCCAGTCATATCACCACCAATTCTGCCTCCAAAACCTCCTGTCTATCCTAGTCCTCCCATTGTGAAGCCACCAACACCGCCGATTCTGCCTCCAACGCCTCCTGTCTATCCGAGTCCTCCCATCGTGAAGCCACCAACACCGCCAATTCTGCCTCCAACTCCTCCTGTGAAGCCACCAACACCACCAATTCTGCCTCCAGCGCCACCTGTCTATCCGAGTCCTCCCATTGTGAAGCCACCAACTCCGCCAATTCTGCCTCCAACTCCTCCTGTGAAGCCACCAACACCACCAATTCTGCCTCCAGCGCCTCCTGTCTATCCGAGTCCTCCCATTGTGAACCCACCAACACCGCCAATTCTGCCTCCAACTCCTCCTGTGCAGCCACCAACTGTGCCTCCAAAGCCTCCTGTAAATCCAAGTCCTCCTATTGTGACGCCACCTCCAGTCGAGAAACCGTGTCCGCCACCACCACCACCCTTGCCATATCCACCACCTCCGGCGCAGCAAACATGCCCCATTGACACACTCAAGCTAGGTGCATGTGTTGACGTGTTAGGTGGTCTAGTGCACATTGGTATAGGCAGCAGCGCAAAGGACGCATGTTGCCCTGTGCTCCAAGGACTGTTGGGCTTGGACGCTGCAGTTTGTCTTTGCACCACAATCAAGGTCAAGCTTTTAAATATCAACATTATACTACCAATTGCTCTTCAGGTCCTCATCGATTGTGGCAAGACTCCACCTCCAGGATTCCAATGTCCAGCATAAGGACAAGGTATTTCGTTATGTTCAGATCATGATGTTAATAATCTGGTGTCTCCTCATTAATAAAAATTTCTTGTTTCCTCGTAAAGATATGTCGAGAAGTTCACTTTTACCTCGTCGATGGTGTCGTTTCATATACAAGCGAACGTATAACGATGTCGTGGTAACTAGGTGATTCCTTTTGATGGTTTCAGGTCATGGATCAGTTTGGAGGAGAATAAGTTTTGGAAGGTTGAAGTAGATAGTACAATTCCAAGGAGAATTTGTGCTTTAAGTTTTCTGTTCTGTTCTCAAGTTGAGAGCTAATCATGTAATTGTAATGTTGGGAAACATGTTTGTTTGTTTGTTTTTTTTTTTAAATGTCAGAGGTAGCTTGTGTTGGAGTTAAAAGTTTTACGTGCGTGGTTGCACTCTTCTTAGAGGAATTTAATTTTATTTTGGGATTGAAAAAGGGAAAAGGTAAAATCACATGCACAAACTCTATTCATTAGTACTGCGTCAATTGAAGTCCACAGAAGTGGCAATTAAAAGAAAGGTAGAAAATGTACCCGATGTTTTGACACTGTGCAACTGTAACTAGTTTGGTTCTCGTGTGTCCGTAATTTCTTTTCTTTTTTTTTTTTTCGGACTATAAACAACTTGTTGGCTACTTTTTTTTTTTTAATAATAAACTTTAGAAATAACAGAGTGAACTTAATGAAATCTCTAGAAATCAAGAATGATTGAATTTTTAAAAATATTTAAATAATAAAATTTTTATTTAAATTCTCCAAAAGGATGGGGAATTTGGATAAAATTTTAAACAGCAAAATTTCTATTTTATTTAATATATTTAAATAAAATTTTCAATAACAATATTGATATGTGCTTTCAAACAATAATAAAACTTAAAATAATCAAGCAAGTCTTAAAAATAACAAGGATAAATTCTAAAAAATAAAAAGTAATAAAATAGATGACATGCTCTTAAGGATATAACAAACAAAATTTGAATTCTAATATCATGTTAAGAATTTAACTTAAAATTAATTGATAATAAATGAATATGCCTAATTTAAAAAAAAAAAATCAGATGAAATTTAATAGAGTCAATTATAATTTTAGTATATAAATTTTAAAAAAAATTAAATTAATACCTAAAAAAATTAAAAAAATATATAATGCAATACTCAACTGATGTGCAAAAGAAATGCCCGACAAAGTTTTGTTTGATTAATTAGTGTTAAGTTTTTAATTATGTTCATAAATGGATAGAAATTAAGCCTAAGGAATTTGAAATTAAGACTTCGTTTCAAATGATCATTCCAAATGCTTCAATTTCCTTGATTATCTATCACTATTGCCATTCAATTTCCTGATGAGTTTATATTATCACTCGAAACCGACATAAAGAAAAACCAACTACTTTGCTTGAATGTACAAATTGTTAATCAAATAATGGAGATATATAGAGTTAATATGAAAAATATAAACCTGAGAAAAAAAACTAAAAATTCACCAAAATTCCTAGTTTTCGCATTTGAAGACCGTTTTCTTTCAAAAAATTATTACCTGTAATTCACAATAAATTTTCTCTTTCATTTTCTAGTTAGGGGTAAGAAGAAAAAGAAACAAGGGAAAACATTTTGTGGATCCATGGGAAAGTCATGATATAAATGAAAGAGAAAATTTGTTGCTGCAATTGAAGGTCCCGATAGACAAGGGATTTGCATGATATGATTTATTGAAAAATCAAGAAAAGAGTGGCAAAAATGGCTGAAATTAGAGTTAAGAGATTTATAATGGTATTACTGTACATGTATAGGAAAAATTAGTGATGACACTTTAAATTAATGAATAACAGATGATTTTGGTCTATGATTTTTGTGAAGAAATTGGTGATAAAGAATAGAACGAATTCGAATACTAGGTTTGCCTGTGATTCACACGAAATTATTGATATTCTTTCTTTCAAAGGTATAATTGGGTTTCACTAGAAGAATTTTTTGGGCCTGGCCTGTTAAGACAGGGAGATTCTTTTAATGTAAGACCAAATCCATGTCATCCAATGTGCAAAACAAAGGAAATATGAGTGAATCGACAGCAACCCTAAATATAGCCCAAAACTTAGAAGGTTAACTAGGGATGGCAACAGGTCGGGTTGGGGTGGGTTTTTGCTCGCCCCGAACCCGACTCGATTTTAAATATACAAAATCTGAATCAGACCCGATCCGATAATTTTTTATTATTTTTATACCCAAATCGACCCAACCTCACATTGTATAAAATCATATCCGATCCGATCCGATCAGAAATTAATAAAATATTATTTTTAATATAAATATAAAATTAAATATATATAAATAATATATAAATAATTATAAAATTAAATAAATAATTAAAAATTATTTTTATATATATCGGGTCGGGTAGGGTCGAATTTGCCTAAAACCCGACCTCGACTCAACCTCGATTTTTTCTTCATTCCACCCAATCCGACCCGATACCCAATTTTCAAAAAGAAAAAATCGACCTTAAAAGGTCGGATTGGGTCGAAACCCGTTGGTTTCGGGTTTTTTTGCCTTCTCTAAAGTTAACCAATCTCAATAGAAATTTTAAGTTTAGTTGGATTTTTTTTTTTGTCAGTAAAAAGATTGTTGTATTATTATTGTAAACTTAATACGCTCGTCACAAAACATCAAAACTTTTTCAGCCTAACTGAAAGTAGTCAAACTACATTTCATAGACCTAAAGGCACCTTACCCTTAGTTACCCGTAAAAAGAGCTAGCAATCCATCTTTATCAAAGATACTAATACTATGTTTGGATTTAAGGGAGAGAAGGAAAATAAAAGAAAGTAATAAAAACAAAAAAATCGATTTTTTATTTGGGTAAATTTTTAATTTAAAAGAAAGGAAAGATGTGAAAATTCAATAACCTTTGATTATTTTTGTAATTCTCACTTTTTTAATATTTCAATTTGGGAGCAAAGTTAAGGAAATGAAAGTTAAAAAAATTTTATTTTTATAAAAAGATTATTATATACATATTTTTATCATGATATTAGATTTTATTATATAATTGACACTTCTTACAAAAATAATTTCTTTTTATGAGTATTTTATATAACATCATAGTTTATAAATATTTTATGATTTTTTAAGTCTTATTAACAAAACAAGCCAAATTATTATCAGAATAAATTAAAAAATTGAATTAAACATAAAATTAAGAGTAAATTAATAACTAGGTAATACATTTTACCGTAATAAATATGCTCAATTTTGTTTACAAAGATTTGTTTACACAAGCTAGATAGTATAAAGATATATTTGTATATTATATGTTACTTTATAACAAAAAAAAGGTTATAATTGAAAAAAATATTATAATGAATTATTTCTTTTCTTTTTTACTATTTATCCTAACAATAGTTGTTAGAATTTTTTTTTCTTTATTAATTTTAATTATCCAAACAAGAAATACATATACAATTTCCTTTCCTTTAAACAAGTTTCCTTTTTTTTTTCTTTTCCTTTATTAATATCTATCCAAACATAGTGTAAAAAATATGGCGGCATAAAAATAGGGTCGACAATCCAACCCGTCCCTAACGGGTTCCGACCCGACCCTAACGGGTTCCGACCCGACCCTATGGGGTTAATTTTTTTTTTTTTTGAAATTCGAGTTTCGGGTCAGATCGGATAAAGTTTTGAAACAATCGGGGTCGGGTCGGGTTCGAGTTTTAGGCAAACCCGACTCGACCCGACCTAATATTATATAAAAAATTATTTTTAATTAATTATTTAATTTTTTATTTATATATATTTATATAATGATATTTTTAAATATTTATATTTTAAAAAAATATTATATTAATTTCTGGTCGAGTCTAGTACGGCTTATATAATATCGGGTCGGGATCAAGGTCGGGTTCGAGTATAAAAAATTTTGGGTAAGGTTGAGTTCGCGCCAAGCAAAACTCGCCCTAAACCCGACTCAATATCAACTCTACATAAAAACCAAATTTGATAAGCACATCTTTTTTTTCGCTTGAGTTGCAACCCAGTCAGTTGCCATATTAGTTTTTCTGTTTACACAACTGATTCTAAAGCTTTCAAACCACCCTTGTTTCTTTGTATATCTTGTATGATAAATCTTATTTTTCAATGCAGCATCTTACCTTGCTTTACTTCTTTCAGCAAAACTTCAGAGTCTACCTCAAAAATCACCTTTCTAAAGCCCATTCTTTTGCTAGATTAACTCTTACTCTTAATGCCATATCTTCTACCATCAAAGTTGAACCTATCAAAATTTGCTTATCACATCTTCTTATCAATTTCCTTTCATTGTTCTTAGCAACCACCTCTACTCCAACTTGTGAAGACCCTTGATCATATGCCTCATCATAATCAAATTTTACCCACCTTTCCTTTGTTGCATTCTATTCTTTCATTACTTATTCCTTTCCATTTTTTATTCTTTTCTCCCACCTCTTACTTACCATTAAATAGTTTGCCACTACACCTTTTATTTTATTAACAGTCTTCATAATATCAAGGTGTTTTTTTATTATATATGGCTTCACACCTTTCTTTCTAAATCTGCTAGCATGCAAATGATATAAAGATTTTTAATCTTCCTTCTTTTCTTTAGTTGTCCTTTTAAACCCTAACATTCCCTTTAGCTAACAATCAATTATGGTAATTCTCTTTTTTCTATTTTATATGCTATATCCATCTTAAACCATACACAAATTGCCCATTCACAAAGAAAAAAATATGTTTAATAGTTTTTTCTTCCTCATTACATAACAGACATATAACAAACTTTTTTTACCTTTTTGTGGTACAGGTTTTTTTCTATTGCCACTGCATTGTTATAGGCTCTCCAAAAGAAATTCTTAATTTTTATTGGCACTAGCATTTTCTAAATTCCTCTCTACAAACTCTTTTCTATTATATGGGATGTAGAATGCTTTTTTATTAGACACTTCTGGCCCTTATCTTTCACTATATGATATCCAATTTTAATCAAGTATTCACCTTTAATCGACTCTGACCACACTAATCTATCTTTTCTTTTTTCTTGACAAAATGTAATACTTTATATAGCTCTTATTACTTTTTTTAGTACCTTTCCTTTTAACACTTTTAAATTTCAAACTCATTTTTCCCTATTGATTAGCTCTACCACATTTTTAGGCAAGTTTAAATCTTTTCCCCCTTCTTCCTTATAATATTTCATAACTACACCCGTAATCCAATTATCATTCCATATGTCTATTTCCTCCCTATTTATCACCAACCACCTTGTATGTTCCTTTATTAACTCCTTCCCTTCTAAAATACTTAACCAAGTCCATGATACTCTCTCACCCTTTTTAGTTTCCAAAATTGAGCAATTTGGAAAGTCGATCACTTTAAGCATTTTTGCCTAATAAGCCTCTAGATTCATCATGATTCTCTACATCTATTTTGCTAGTATAGCTATATTGAACATGCTTAAATCTTTAAAGCCTGTAACCCTTTTTCTTTTTTCCACATCAATTGACACCATCTGATCCAATGAATTTTCTTTTCTTCCTTCTTTGTCCTCACCAAAATTTTCCTATTTTTGTATTAATTTCCTTATATTTTTTATGGTACCTTAAAATAGCTC